GGGGGGGGGGGGGGGGGGGGGGGGGGGGGGGGGGGGGGGGGGGGAGGCAGGCAAAGGTCCCCTTTGGGGGACCGTGTTTGTCTAATTAAAAAGGTAGCTCGTTTCCTAACTTCTGAGTCTTAAATTAACAGCTTCTCTGAAATAAAGATATTTAATACTGATTTCTATGCTGTCTGCACTCTTCTAATGATGTTTTCTGGTACCGGTGCGTGCCTCTTAAGTTACATTTAATTTGACTGATAAATAATGTTCATCAGTTATAGCCTGTTTCTTGATTTTGAACAATTACAATGAGAAATACGAGCCAAAGTATACATTAGCTAGCTTAACTATTTTTGGCGGTACTTTGCCTCGTAGCGCTCGTCACAAGGAAGCAAAAATCTTTAAGGTGGAGTTACACGAGCAACAAAATTGCTGCAACTTGCAACAAAATATGATTGAAATGTTTTATGATTTATGAAATGTTTTATGAAATTTTATGATTGAAATGTTTACACATAAATTACAAATTACAAGGCAACATGTGTCGACATTTCCACTTAACATGCGTTGAAATCAGATTTTGTTGCAAGTTGCAGAAATTTTGTTGCTCGTGTAACTCCACCTTTAAATGTATTATGTTTTGTCAGAAGTGTTGAAGATTACCACAAACTCACACAAACACAGTTTTTAATTAATCCAGTCCCCGTTGGCAATCTGATGTCAGCGGGTTGCCAAACACGTCTCTTGCTTAAAGAGGCTGTCAAGTCCGTTCTGCGCATACATTCTGCGCAGGCTTACATTCCATTGGTCGGGACCCGACCGTTGGAATGTTATTAATATTTCGTATATTTTGAACTTTCTTGAATTGAATCTCTAGTCTGTATTCATTTACAAGCATAGCGAACCAGAAAGTGTTAAAATTCAGTGTAATATATATCTAATCATATTTTACAACTGTAGCACTGCGGAGTTCAAAATGTAAACAAAGCGTTTGTTTACATTACGGACTTGACAGCCTCTTTAACCTCCCTAAATTGCCTAAAATACTAAACTATTGTTCCCTCTCAAAAGTACTTGTCTGTCTTTTAAACAATCTTTAAGTAGCAATAGGCTGCAGCGGAATTCACATAAAACACACCACACAACTTTGAACGTTTAACTCGGTTGGCGAGGTTAAAAACCGTGAAAATTATGTAAATAACGATGCAGTTTGAACAACTACAACTTTTAGTAGAATTATTAATTAGAATCTGGGTGATATTATAGTGTTCGTAGGGTTCGATGAGGGTCAAGAGGCTTTGGTGGCGCAGTGGTCACAGCAAACGCCTTTCACTTCTGAAGATCTGATTCTACGACGGCGAAACTCTTTGCGAGAAATTTTGTCTGCGAAATATAGATGGCTGCACATGAGCGATTCTATTGAATTTAGCCACTTTATTCGCTTTCGCAGTGAAGGTACTCACTGGCGAAGCGAAATTTTTTCTCGCAAAGCCTATTTTATCTTTACTGCGCATACAAGATTTCATTTCGTGCGAAATATTTCGCATTTCGCCGAGAAAAAGCGCTCGTG